TTTTGCTTTTACTAAACCTATCGAGCTGCTGCCCAGTGCGAATTTTATCAGACGAGATGAGAGACAGATCTCAACAGCAACATCCGTCTAGGAAAGACGTACCTCTTCTTTTAAATGTATAAAGCAAAACATCACTAAGTGAGCTGATATAAAAATCTAATGTACAGAGATAGAGGTAAAACAAATTAACAAAACAAAAAAATACTGAGAGGAATGCTTTATTGATGATGTAATAATCATGCAATCAAAAACTGCAATATGATTGTTTTTCTCCTAAGGAACATTAGAGGGTAGTAAAGTTAATGTGGGTTTAAGGGAGTATTTGAAACAAAAATAAAAAATTTGTAGTATTTTTAGGCTTCGTCAGAAATGATCATTTTTACTGACAACACACAAACAAAAAAACCCTAAATAAATAACCAAATAAATAAATAAACATTCAAAAACAAATGTGTGGCTTATCCATGAGGCCTTTCAAGGTAACGTATCCTTAAAAGAATAGGCAGTTCACTAAGAAATGAAAATGTGTAAACCTGCAGACAAAGATGAACAAGACCATCCTGATAGACAGGGAAGAAAACAATGGCACACTTTAAAAGCTTTAAGCACAAAGTTGATCTGAAAAGATAAAAATTAATGAGAAAAGAATCCACTCGGTCTATTGTTAGTAATCTTATCTACACTTGTCTAAAGGCTAGATCTCATTGGTATATTTGGTATGTCATATTTAAACTGTTGCACTCAAACGTAATTCCTTTAAATGCAAAGTGTTTGAGAATGGACTCACACCATCAGGAATCAGATTTTAGAAGGACCAGTGCAGCCATGATCCTACCTGGTCATGAACTCTTCAAACTTGGAGCTGGTCAGGTTGAGACTGGACCAGTGAGTATCGGCCACAGGCTTGTGTTCTGGTGGGCCAAGGTAGGCCAACAGGGTCGCCATCTTGTCAAAGGGCCGTCTACCTACTGCCTTGTGGTCTCTGGAAGAAGTTAGCAATAAAGCTTTTCCATGACAAAAAAAACAGTACATAGTATTTCTATAGAAGTGTTAGTCATTGACAATCAGCAAAACAAAAACTGTAAAACTGTCTTTACCTGTTACTGGACAGGTACTGTCCGATCCTCTCCTGGTTGTTCCACAGCAGACGGTGAAGGGCCAGGACGTTCCCATCACTGATGAAGGACAAGCTATGGTTGATTGAATCACTGGGAGGAGAGTCGGATGCTATGTCCAAGAAAAACCTGTAGCAGAAAGCAAAGAACACAATGACCCTTCAAGCTTTTCTCTAGATATGACTAAACTATACATGGAAAAATCAGCCCATATGGACTGAAGCACCACGTAGCTGGTAGGGATACACCAATCCACATTTTGTTACTTCTGATCCGATCCCGATACATACACCTGGATATGGGCCGATACCAATACTATTCCGACATCATCATCATAATTGATTCTGTGAGGCTGTAATAATCTCCTCTCAAGTACAGTTTGTACAAATATATGCATGCATGACCAAAAAGGCAACTTGATGTCAAGGGCCAGGCTTTTGGATTCAAAATGACCAGACACAAAAATAAAAAGGTGTAATCTAGTGA